TTACTATAAAGATCATATCAACTGGCTGAACGATTCAATTTGTTGATGAATGTATAAGCTTTCGACTGACTGCGTGTGTGGGTATTGGCGAAGAGATGAATTACAGTCACACCCTACATCCAGCAACATCACCAAAGCGAGCCAAAATGTCTGAAAAAAAAACATTTTCTTTCTATTTATCGACGGAGTTCTACAACTTGACCGAAAAGAAAATGCTGAAACGTCAATGAAACAAAAAGAAAGAAAACGTAATCAATAGTATTCAAGTCGTTGGAGTGAATACAACTTTTACTAAAAAGAAAATGACGAGAATCATCGTTTCAGTTTGAATTTTACCCGAGTTTTAATACTATAAGCACACCTTAATCATGGAATGATGAGTCTGCTTTGGAAAAATATATATAAAATACTATGTTTCAACTTTATTATTTGATAAATGTCATGAGCAACAAGATCCGTAAGTCTATTGAGTGATTACATAACATATAAATACGGATTTATATATATATCCCATGTCCTTTGAATCGACTAAAAATTGCCGATTAATCCCGATTCATCGAAACGATAATCGTGAGCTGAATCGCGATAGAATCGCCGATTATTCCCGATCATTTCAGCGATTTTTACGATAAATCGTGGTTTTATGCAAGATTTAACCGTCTGTTTACTGATATTTTCTACTATTTCATTGGTTCTTTTGGAGACACATATTTGGATTTTTTCTTGAATTTAATTCAATTTTTTTTTTGTTCTCAAGATCCAAGCCGATCAGATCGTGCGATCTGTCCGATCTCGAGCTGGTCCGATTCTTATCAGACCGCTTCAGTGTAGTCCTCTCCAGATCATGGATCGGGATTGGCATTTCCTTGATTAAAAATAACCAAGAAATAATTTATCAGAAAAGTATATTTCGAAAACTTATTTGTTATGCATTGAACGGCGTTGTTTATATATCCGTGTGTGTTCATAACAAAACGGTGAATGAATAATTGTCATGATTTATCAATGATTTTTGAAAATCAGCTCTTCTCCCATAATCGCGATAAAATCTGATATAATCGTCGATCTTTTAAAGAAATACGATAAATCACGATTTTACGCCAATTTTTTAGAAAATCGCGAAAATCGCGGTGATTCTCACGACATGGGTACGACTATTGAGAACGAAGAAAGAAAAACAGATCATCACTGCGATACATGTAATAAGTGAGAAGAGAGAGTGATGAACTGTTCTGATAAGTAGCAGAGAGCCAATAGCGAAGAGATTTGTCGTTTGGCAATAGATTTCCTCATAAGTGAGTGAGCCAAAGCACCGACATAGTTCATTTTCAAGATAAATTTGACTGTATCCATGAAAGAGTTGTACTTAGAACAAGAAGAAGAAATTGTTCCACTCCTACATTTTTTGTGTCGAAACAAAAGAAAAACAATGGTAAAAACCGTTTTTATCAAGACGAATGAGTCATCACTATCCAATCATAATTCTATGATGCTCCTGTAATAATTCTACCAATCTGTTTATATGACTCATGTCACACATCGTCAGATAGATCTAATTAGTCACCGAATAAAGACTATCATTTCCTAAGAATCAATGCTACTAATCAGAGATATTTTGTGACTACTAGATGTTTTTTTACTTTCATATTCATTCTATCGTCTTTAATGACGTATTCAATCACTAGTTGAGTCACTCTGCATTCATTCATTAAACATTTGATTATGACACTATTTTTTTTTTCTTTTTGCGACTTGTATTTTTCGCGTTATTTCTATTTATTACAGGTATATCAAATGAATATTTATCCAACACGTGCTTTGTACATAAGGTAAGAAACGTATGCACAGTCCCGATTGTAATTATAATTGCAACATTATTTAAGTTATGGTTGTCATGCAAGTGTATTCACCAAAAATCACATGCGCGTTATCGAACATTTATCGTTTTGAATGATTTTGCATGTTGGATACATCTCTTAACTCTTTTGGAAATCATGTAAAACAAATCGATTGAAATGGATTTATTGGATAAAAACATTGTTTTTTTTTTTCGTATTACTTATCTGACGATCACAGGACATTTACAATG